CTGCTGTCTGTGCCGCTCTCTTGATGAGTGCCCATTCACTCGCTGTCTGGCTTTGGAGGGACACAGACACACTGGTGTGGGTGCTGACAGAGAAGAGGTGAGGGATGTGGATGAAGAGCAGTGCATGAAGCACAACCCTCTCCTGCCTGCACCAGCAGTGCACGAGGGAGGCAGCCAGACTGGTCCTTGTGTTCCCAGCAGATCTCATTCTGGCAACAGAGGACATCAAGGGAGGTTAAGCTGGCCTTGCAGAATTTGTCCCACACATGGTCACATCTACTAAAGGTCTTTCAGATGGACCTCCTTGCCTCTGTAGGCTGCTGCAGGAAGGTGGGTGATGCTGGCCAAGGGGGCTGTGCGCATGGATGGGAGCAGCTGCACATTCTGTATTCCTAAGGATGTGCTCCTGGCCTGGAAGAGGACAGGAATTGCTGCTGATTCAGTTACATCTGAAAAACAATACTGAGCGGGTGGCTCAATGAACTACTGAAAATCTGACCGATGTGCAGGAGGAGTTTCTGCAAGGCTGGTTTCTTTAAGCAGTCAGCTTGTGGGAACAAGAAGGGCAGCATCTCCCTGGCCATGTCCCAGGATACTGCTGTGTACATGGAGCGTGACGCACACCTGCAGTGAACCCACCAAGGGAAGAGCATGGCTCTCCTTTAATACACATCTTTACTTTCATTTTCTGAATTTTTCATGTTTATTCCTTGCAAGCAAACCCGTGTCAATAGCTGTATCTGGAGAGGGAGAAAAGGTGTCCCCTGGTGTGCTGAAGCCCATGAGAACTGGTCATAGATCATGTTTAAATGTCAACCACGCCAAAAGCACATCACTCTCCAGCTGCTCCCGTGTTAGCCTGCTGACAGGCCAAGCTGCTTAGCAGGGCTGATTCATGGCCCAGCAGTATAACACAGTTGTGCTTGTTCATCATTTATAGAAATCACGGGCATCAATGTTCTGGTTAGATCAGGTTGCAAGAGCAATGATGGAAGAAAGGTTAGTGTTTCAAATCAGGCAGGGACGAAGCAGACTTGCTGGAGACCACAGCACAGGAATTTAATCCATTCTCCTGGGTATTAACATGTGTCTGCACTGTTGGGAAAGTCATGGGTGCTAAAATTTCCTTTAGGGGAACTTAGACACCAGAGGTGAAATAGTTAAGTTGGTATCTTTCCAGGACAGACAAGAAAATCATGGATTAGGCCACAAAAGTGGGATATTGTGGAGAAAAGCAGCTGGCGTCAAGAGACCCTGCTGCCTGTTTTGGTGTGATTGAGTGCCATCAGGACAAGGACCCTTGCAGGGTTGTGCTCAAGCCTTATTCATATCCTTAACAGTTTTCTACTCCCATGCTGTAACATAGCAGTGCCATGGCATTTGAATGATTTTGTCTTTTTGGCTATAATTTGTAACTTTATAAAATGGCTGTTGTTTCAGTAGCACGCGGAGGCAACAGCCAAATATCAGGATGTAAAGCACTTCACATCCATAGGATGAAGACACTTGTTTCTGCAGCAATCTTATGGCAGGAAAGGGTAAGAGCTTGGTAAAACAGCAGCGTGAGGAGCCTGGGTGGTCTTACTTGTGTTCTATGTAGGTTGGGCAGGGCTGAGTAGCATCAGCCTGAAGGTTTACCAGGAGATCACCAGGGGCATACCTCAACCTCTGGCTGTCTGCAGCTTGAAGAGTTTAGCCTGCTCATCCTAAGGTTGATCCCTAACTAGAAACCCTGGAGACACAAGTAGGTATTAGTGATATCACTAGAACAGCAGAGATGCCATAAGTAGGGTGATAAGTGTAGCAAAGTCCCTATGCACAGCAGTATCTCTTGGTCAGCTCCAGGCTTTGGGATAAACTGGGCAATAAAAAATGCTGGGCTGAGGGTTCCATGTGGGATTCAGATACTTAGTGTGGTTCTAACTGAGAAAGTACTGTCAGGATTTTTCTGCTTGTGTACTTTTCTGTTCCATGTATATATGCAGATAGATAGATATATAGATCTATCTCCTTTTGACCAGAAGGACATTATTTGCCCTTGTTTACAGATGTATTATTGCTTTGAAGTGTCAGCATGAGCTGTGATATGGGATCAAGACAGCATGACTGCTTCATGAGAAGATTTGCTCAGAATGAGTCCCAAGGCACCTTCCCAGCAAATAAACTCCTGCAGTGATAACCTGCTTAATTATTAAATGTGGGAATGAAACCATTACTTTGTTAATCCCTCAGAAGATCCTAATACCTAACGACTGTCCAGAGCTAATTTTCTGAACAATAATTTAATACACAGCCCAGATAAACCACATACTTAGATTGAATACAAATGATGTTTCAGTGACATGAATTATGGCCTTATGCTGAGCATCACTATGGCAACTAATGACATCACCACAGGCTTCAACCTGCACAAAACCCAACTTCTGAGGGTCTCTGTTTGTTGGCTCAGATCTTTTCAGGGCTTTTGGGGGTATGAATATGTAAGCACCAGTGTTGTCAAGGGTTTGCTATGTATGTTTGCTGTCATTTGAAACATTTATTCCCTTTGTGGTTAATGTTGTTCTCATGAAGGAAACCTAATGAAAATTACTGTTTGTATTTGGTTAGTAACATTTGTTGATAACATATGGTCTGGGAATGCTTCAGCAAATAAGAGCTTTTTAATAGTAAACAGAGATATGAGTTCTATAAAGCAGATGCTGTCAAAATACACAGCGTAAGGTTGGATATTTTCTTACTTTCGCCTCTTACCCAAAGCCAGATTATCTTCCTGCTTTCCTTGCTGGTGACAACACAGGTTTCTTTAGGAGAGAAAACAACCTGTGACCTAAACCTGCAAATAGAAAATAAGGTTGTTTCTTATGCTTAAAACATTTATTAGGTAGCTGATGGCTCACACATGGAAAGACTATTGAGGATGTGGCTGGACCTGTAGTGCTGTAGATAATTTAAGCCAAACCTCTGCTCCCTGGCTCTGGTGGCAGTTTGATGCATCATTGTAAAAGATGAAATATGTGGAACAGTGACACCAGGAGAGAAAACTTGAGAGCAGAGCTGACAAAGAAACAGAGTTTGATAATCAGTTCTGCACTGAACTGAACATGCTTATTTGCTAAGCTCATCTGGACAAGATTTGCTCAGTGGAGAGCAAAGCAGAAACCTGTACCTTTTGTGCACAGGAAGGAGTAAATTATTGTTTCCAATAACCTTCCAAATGCAAAACCTGCTGTTTTGGTATTTATGTTTAAAGAACAGGTAGTCACTGGACCACATGTCATCTGAGCCTTTTCTCGGTCGTTTCAAGGGAACTGCACTTCAGCAGAGGATCTAGTTTGAGGACAATATAGAATAAGTGTCATTAATAGCATGAGGGTGAATAGGAGTTGCTAATGAGTTATGGTATAATCTCTCATCTGACTTGCAGTATTCTAGGCTGCAGTGGGTGTCCCACCGCATTACTCGGAGGTGTTGCTCATGGCACACTCTTGGTTTCTTCTGGTTTACAAGCAGCACCGCATCTGTGATTATTCTTCAAGCTTGCTTGTACACTTTGCTTGAGGTTTGAAGTGTGATGAATTTTCAGGGTATCTGGGAACAACACAGGAATCTAGTTCACAATTATATTTAAAAAAAAAGACAAAGAAAGAGAACAAAAAAATAAAGAGCATTTTTTAATATGCTAGTTTCACACTGTGCCTCTGCATGGTTGGCTGTTGAGGAGCATCCTCCTTGCAGTGTTGAGCTCTTCCCTAGTCCTCTCTCTGCCCTTCATCTTTGGCTGAGCTGTTCTCTGCTAACAAGGGCAAGTGTGGTTTTAGGAATGCTTTCCTTAGCTCTGTCTGGAAGTTTCTGTCTGGCTTAATTTTAGTAAGTTTCTAAATTCTAAGTAGAAACAAAGCTTGAAACACAGCTGTGAAGTCTCAAACATGACTTTTTACCCCTTAGTGTAGAAGGTATTTTCTTCTCTGCTGATTTCAAAATTGTTTAAAGCTTACAAATAGGCATCAGTTCAAGTTCCACTTAGTTTTTGCTCTGTGACCCTCTTCAGTCTGTGCCGGTTTACCAGAGGGGAGCTTTTTCCTCTATCTCAAAAACCCAAACACAGGTGACTAATTTGATGTGTTATTGTGAGTGACACCACTTGTGGAGGCTCTCGTAAGCCTATTTGAAAAGCCTATTAGGATGTTGAACAGACATGGTGTTTCATGGTTTCTTTCCCCTACTATCTCTCTAAATCAAAGCTGGCTCAATGTAAGGTCTGAGTGTCTTTTAGAGAACACCATGAGGATGCTCGCCAGCGCAGCTCAGGGGAACGTTGCGGGTGTCACCATTCATCCTCCATAGTGCTCCTTGCCAAGGCATGGAACCAGCCAGGACTGGAGTACAAATAGTAGATGGTGGTCTCAGGTCTTGGTTCATTGTGTAGTTGGAGAGGTGACTGCTTCCTGGCCACTGCTGTCCCATCCCCAAGGAGCTGGCGTCCTGCTCTGCAGTCCCAGCAAACAGCTTACTCCAGGTGTAATGGCTTGAACTTGAACCTGGGCTGGAGAGCTGGGCTGGGACCCAGAAGAGAACCCAGGTTAAATCGGGGTTTCCTCAGAGAAAACAAGCCTAACTACCAGCCTGGAAAGAGGAGCTTAATTAGGCAAGAGAAAAGCAGGGGCATGAGTAATTACAGATGTCCTGGGTGCAGATGTCCTCAATCCTCAGCTCCTGTTGTGGCTATACAGGCTGTCGCTGCAGGAGACATATTGTTCTTTCTAAATAAAAAAGTTTTTGCTTCACACTGCTCCCGAATAATCTCATTTTCCCCCCCAAAGAGCCATCATGGGTTTTCCAAACATCTGTCCCACATTTCCCAAAGAAGATAATTAATACCCTTGTCAATTAGCCAGCCCAGCTACTTCATCGTGCGCCACAGAGGACATTTTCACTTAACCATTGCATGCCCAGGCTGTAGTGCTGCTGATCTGAGCATCTCTGTGTCCTTATTTTCACAGCTGGGGCACCCAAGGAGACTTCACAACAACACACGCGCTTCCTGCAGTCAAGGTGAAGCTGTTCACGGAGAGCACGGGAGTGCTGGCTCTGGAGGACAAAGAGCTCGGGAGGGTAAGGAGATTCTGAATTTAATAGTGCTTCCTTCTGGCCTTCCTATTCTAGAGAAATCTCTCCTGTACGGAAATATCCTTGGAGCACAACATGCTCTGCTTTTTTGCCAAGCTTCAGGAGGGGGGAAAGAAAGCTCTCCACTGCTGGAAAGGAGTGCATCTCGCATGCTGTCTTTGTTGTGAGCTTTTAATGGCAGCATTTCAGCTGGCTGTGCCTGCGCCGAGCAAAGGCGGAGGATCTTGTGTGCGATATTGGCAGTCCGGAAAGCCTTAGAAGTTGCTTACGGAAATGGACATTCCTGAGGCAGAAAAGGGGATTATGCTGAAGGAAAAAAGAAAGGATTGAAGTTTGGCAAGAGAGTGTTAGGCTGCTCTCATATCTGCTGAGCAGCCGGTGCACAGTTTGAGCATTTGAAAGCACTGACTGCGGTACTCGCTGCAAAGGGCTTCACATCCTGGCTTCTCCTTGGGATTGTGGCTGAACTGGTGGTTTCAGTGGGGCTGCACTGGGGAGTGAAACATGGGGGCTCATTGCCCCCATCAGTGGCGCTAGTAGCAAAGAGCTCAGATTCCCCAGATACTGGCCACAGAGCCAACTTTCCCACCCTACCTCAACTGTGATCCATAAACCAGTCCTGGTTGGTGGCCCTCCATCGCTGCAGCCCACAGCTCCAGAATATCTTTTCTGTGGCTTTGGGACATTTCAGTTACTCTCCATGGAATTGTATAGTTTGTGTTGGCCCCAGGCATAGGTGGCAGCAAACTCCCTGCCATGCCTTCCTCAGCTCTTCAGGAGCATGAGCATGGTGAAAACCCCATGAAAATCAGCTCAGGGTAAGAGAGGCTGCACTGTACACACTGGTTTGGTACCTCCTGGGTCACAGTTCAGCATGGCCTGATCAATCTCCAGGAGCACCCTGGGCTCTGTCTGCAGCACACCTTGCTCTCTGCTCTGTCTTTATGTCTGTGGACAAGAAATCCACTGATCCTGTGGTGAGTCTGAGTATTTCCAATTATGGCCTAACCTGTTGGGATGTTTCTTGCTAACTCCATGTCTGCTTGTGCCTTGACATAGGAGAGTCTGTCCATACAATGAAGCTTTTCCTAATTAACGTGGTTTTGTGTTCATCCTATTCATACAAGTGCCAAATGTTGTTTCAGGTCCTAGTTTGCTCATGATTTAATTTATATCTTTGTGGTGAAGAGTGCTGTATATGATTTTTGCCTCATATCATTTATGTTCATTTTAACTGTGTTTTCACGTTCATGTAACATCCTTTGTTACTGCACTTGGGAGAGAGAAAACTAAAGCTGCCCCTTCTTTTGTCCTATCAATCTTATATTCAAAGAGAGTCACAGCCCTTTGGACTTTCCTCATCCACACCTTGATCCTTCCTTTCTCCATGTCCTCCTCCTCTTTTGACAAAGGGGATGGCCACACTAGGCTGTAGTACCCCAGCTGAAGACCTACAGTTGCTTTGCTGCACAGCATCATGATATTTTCAGGATTATTTTCAAAACCTTCTTCTTTCAACAGCTTGGTACTCCTGCCTTTATTCACTGCAGCATGCTGAGCAGAGCTTTTCACCCAGCCAGCCACGATGCCATTCAGGACTTTTCCCCCTGCGTGGTTACACTCGGTGTAGACCCTCTTGCTTTGTAAGGCTTGTTTCCACTGGCAAACATGAGCAGTGCTGACTTTGCTGGTCCCGGGAAGCAATTAGCTAGGCATGTTGTTCTGAGAAAGATGTCAGGCCCCAAAGCAACCCCTCTTGCCCTGAAACACTGATGAGCCAGCCCCACTGATGCGCTTTAATTCCTATCCAGCGGGAAGCCATCCCTTGGCTCTGAGCTTCTGCAGGCTGAAGGACGTGGGCCAGCAGCGGCGAGCACAGGGAGCTGGGCAGTGATTTCCCCTGGCCCCTGGCCACCAGTGCTTTCAAATGGCCAGACTTCAAAGGGATGCTCGATGTGCCCGGAGAAGCTGAGAGATGACGCGTGTCTGCTCAGGCTGCATCAGGATTTCTTCTGTAATGAAATAATGAAACCGGGAGCGTGTTAAGCCCCTGGTTTAGTTGTTGGAGTGGGCACGGACCTGTCTGCACAGAGAGAGGAGGGAAGCAGGTTGTATACACAAAAACACCCATGCTCAGCTGCCCTTTGAGAAGTGGCTTTGTGCTTTGCCAGGCCTGTACAATGCCCACTTTCTATTGCAAGTGTTAAATTGGCAGCCAGCCGGCACTCCTCATTTCACTAGGGAGAGCTGGAAAATGCTCCCAAGCCCTAAACTGCTGGATGGGCAGCTGAAGGCATGGGAATACATCCTGGCCCTATTGAAGCCAGTGGCAAGGCTCCCACAGTTTCAGCCGTGCCAAGGTTTCATCTACTGAGCTCAAGGAGGGGAAGAGCCATGAATTGCAACAACACTGAGGAAAGTTTATGCGCCTTTTGATGAAAAGGAGTTAGAAATCAAAGTAGAGAGCATCCCAAACACCCTGAGCAGCTGCTGCCTTCCTAAGAGATACAGTTTAATATAAGTCTAGGTACTTATATGACCTGCCTTTCATGGGCGTCCTTGGATGTTGTTCAGAGTTTGGGGCCAATCCTTTTAACATCACCCTGTGTGGAGGACTCCCTCTCTTCAGGATTTGTTTAAATGTGGTTTTGCCAACAGGGATGCAGTAGAGACTGGTATCATTTGGTTATCTGTGTAACTAATGATAGGCTCAGATTCCTGCCAGAGAAAGCATTAGTCTAATTCAATAAAAGAAATGATAAATAATGCTGATGAGTAAGAGTGCAGTTGAGAATCTACTGATGTTAACCTCAGGCTTTGGAAGAGACAACAGAGTAACTTCTAAAATCATTCATCAGAGGATAATAGCATCAAGGACATTCTGGTGGAAAACAGCCCTTGGTTGTTGACTCAGCAGTGAAGTTGAAGAGCAGAGGAATATGTGATTATGGTCTGGGCTGGAGTTTGGCGGGAGCATGGCCTAAGCGTGACCAAGGGATGAGTGATGGCAGCACATCAAATAACATGGGGGAATGCTGCTATTTGTGGAATAATTTGCTAGCAGAAAGGTGAATGGGTTTAAAGGAGATTTATCTCACTATAGGACAGTGACTTGAATGAATTTGTGCCAGGCAAAGTCATCTCTGAGAGAGAAAGCATCAGAAGAGGAATAGGCATAGGAGAGAGAGGGTTAAGCCACCCCGAAGGACACATATGGGAACACCGGGAGAAGATGGTAGATATGACGTAGTTCTGGGAGAACAGAATCATAGAATGATTTGGGTTGGAAGGGACCTCGGACACACCAGCCTAGTAACCTACTGTATCCAGCCTTTACAGTAAGCAAAAAATGAAGCCAGCATCCCCACAGCCTGATAATAGCAATGGATGAACCACTTTAGGTTGAGCTTTCTGAGCCCATGAAACAGCACCCCTCACATGGGAAGTGTCAGGAAGGCTGGAGGTTGGCCAAGTTGTATGGGTCTAAAATGGGAGATGGCAAAAAAGCTTGTTGCTGGATTGCTAATGACATTAGTCCACCATCACTTCTAGACTGATTTACCTGGACAGTTACATGTTCATTTATCACAGTCTTTCTTTAAATGATGGGAACTGATAATGCAGTTCTGTTCTGCACAGCCCCATGAACAATAGCACAGTAGATATAGGAGCCAAAGAATATAAGAACTATTCTGAAAATAGTAAGTTGTACCTTAAAAGAAGCAGTGAAAAGCCATCCTCACTGATGGGAACAGAAATTTCCAGGCTGACTTTTAGGGCAAAAGCAGCTCATCTGATGTGTTTTTGTTCCCCATTAAAACCCATTCGGTGAATAATTGTTCCCTTTAACATTATTGGTTTTAATGCTTGCAGGTTGTTCTCCACCCTACTCCCAATAGCCCAAAGCAATCAGAATGGCACAAAATGACTGTTTCCAAAAACTGCCCGGATCAAGACCTGAAGATTAAGCTTGCTGTGCGAATGGATAAGCCTCAAAACATGAAGCACTCTGGGTAAACTCTTATCTCAATCTGAACTCAATTCGTTATGAATGTGCATTAGAAAACGTCTCCTTTTTTTAAGATTCTGGAAGAGAAACTCTTCTTCTCAAGGTCACAGGAGGTCAAAAGAAAGATGAATATACAAATGACACTAGTTCAGTCATTTATAATGCACTTCCCATGTTCTTAGCAGTCTTTTTAATGCATATCAGCCAAACGATATCCCTCAGGAAATTGCTAGGTTATTTTGTTTTTCCTATAAGGAAATACTAGGTGATCTGCCTGCCTCTCTTAGTGAGAATGGTATAGTTTCCCAAGTTATTCTGGGTTTCCCTGTATTGACTTCCAAGAACCAAAAGCAGGGTACACCTTCCGCTTGAAATACGCTCCAGTGTGACCGTCAGTATTTCCACAGAGACACACAGCACAATTAAATAGCAGTTGCTTGGAGTCATGATCTGGAAGGTTAAAAGGGAAACCTCACCCTTCCAGATGGGACTGTTGGAGGATGTGGAGCCAGGGGAATCCCTGCCAGCCACCCCTGGTTTCCACCTTTGTGCCATGCAGTTACAAATTAGATCATCTTTGGCAAGACCAAGCTAACGCCATTGGCAAGGCTTTCCTCTGTTTGCTCTTCAGGGCAGAGGATGTGATAAAAAATAGAAGCTGTCCAGGAAAGTCACTCTTTTGAGTAACTCTT